CTTGTGAAAAATGAACTATGGAGCCATAGCAATGCAGACAGGTGATCATTATGACCAAGACTATATGATGAAAGTTGAGCTTTTGCATATTTTCTTCAATTAGAAGTCCAGGTTAAATTTCACATGGCTATCTGCACCCCGCTTTCACAATGTCTTATCATAAAACATTTTGTGCTGATGGTGAATTCCAAATAGAGTTGCACAAATAAATACTGAACCCATGTCCAGACCAAAACCAGACCAAGTCCTAAAGCCAAACTGCTTTACACTAAACAAATTCTGAAAATAATCACTATTACTTTCTTACTTAGTGGCTGACCCTAAGGAAAACAACATTGATTTATAATGAAAAGCCTAGGAGGATAAAAAAAACACACAAAAAAAACCCAACACATGTACGTGCTTATTTTTACTCCACTCCACCAAAACTCTGAAGTGGCCAAATAACCTACAAGTATAACTGTCCTCGCCCCGAAAAGCAGTCTTCGTCCACAGCTGCCCTGGGACTTCCGCTCACCTTCCCCATCGTGCAGGACTCAGGTGGCTGCCTGCCTGACACATCCCGGCTTCAGAACATCGTTTCCCAAACCACAAGTCTCTAGATTTCCCTGTGGAACAGAACTCCTTCCATGACAATTTTTGGAACACTGTCTCTGGGCGGTTATACAGAGCTACTTACAAGTGGAACAAGAGGTTGTCGCTGGAGGAAGGGCAGGCAGTGTCCAGGGGAAGCATGCCGTGAGGGCGGCCTGCGTTTGCCGCAGAGCACCAGATGCTTTGTCTGCACCCACCGCCTTTACAATCGGGGCTTGTCTGCAAGGAGCCCTCAAATCTTTCAAGAATGAAGACTTTGGTGCTATACAGCTAATCCTCAAGAGGGAACTTTCAAGATAGTGGTGCTTAAAAGCAGAAAAAAAGTCGGACACAAAACAATGCATACAGTATGATCCATCCGTGTTTAATAGAAGAGAAACTTACACACAGACTTCCATATGCACCAAACATTTGTAAAATCTGGGAGTCAACTGGCAGAGGCCAGCCATTCTTCCTCTCCCGGGGTGGCTTTTACCCTTACAGACACGCCTATATTTTTCTTTAAATCATAGACATGCATTGCTTTTATGTATTTTTAAAATTTGTATTGTTTATAAAGGTGATACAAGATGGTGGGGAAAGGACCTTCTGCCCTTGTCTCCGAAAAGTCCATAGAACTACAAGGAAAAGAACAAACACAAACTTCAGAAACCACGCCGAGTCAGCAACCTCCCACCCACCATGTGAAGCTGAACACGGGCGAGAGCAGTGACGTGGCAGAGTGGGTCAGACACCACCATTCAGAGCCTGGGGAGTGTCCAGAGAAGAGGATGCAGGGAAGGGCAGGGACAGGCTGAAGGGAGAGGATTTCACAGCTGGGCTCTTGGGCCCCTGGGAATCCTCCACACACCCCAAGAGGTTGAGGAGTCTTGTTGAGAGGAAAGTAGTTGGGTCAAGGAAACGGCCACAGGACACCCTCTGGTGGCCGTCCTGAGTGGAGCCCAGCTGGCGGTGACCTTGCTCTGCACCTGGAGCTTCGCTTGGGGAACGTCAGTGTGAGCCCACATCTGAGAGCCTCCAATGTAAAGGGACGTGGAGGAGACGGGGAGGTACGGAGAAAGCTTTGCTCCACATTTACTTCTGCAGGGAGAGGAGGGAAGCCCCTACATCTGTGAAGCAAGAACGGGATGCTATAACCAACAGAGAGACTGAGAAATTAAAAATGCAATTTGCCAAAATAAAAGTGAGTGAAAGGGTTATAAGATAACATCCAGGAAATCTCCCAGAAGGTAGGAAAAGAGGAGAGAAAGTATAAGAAAATGACAAGATCAATCCAGGAAGCTTAACACACGACTAAGAGGGACTTCCTTCCAGTAAAAGATAAGAGAGAATGGTAGAGAAATTATCAAATAAATCATTACCAGACCCAAGACCACCAAGTTCCCCACACAATGATTTTTTTTAACTTGACCTCAGCTTTATTATAGATACATATATATAAAATATTTGTTTAAAACTATATATTTCCTTATTTTTACTGAGATGAAATTCACATACCTTACCCATTTTAAAGTATACCTTCAGAGGTATGTAGTACATTTAGTGTTGTGCAACCATCACTTCTATCTCATTTCAAAACATTTCCATCACTCCAAAAGGAAATCCCGTACCCATTAAGCAGTCTCCCCCACGTGTGCCTCCCCTGAGCTCCTGGCAAACACCAATCTGCTTTGATGGGCAAACAGCTTTACCCATTCTAGATGCCGGGTGTAAATGGAACCACACAGTACGCAGCCTGCTGTGCAGGGCTTCTTTTAGCGTAATGTTTTGGAGATTCACCCGTGTTGTAATGTGTGTCAGTACTTCATTCCTTTTTGTGGCTGAAATATATTCCAGTGTATGGATACACCGCATTTAGTTTATCCATTTATCAGTTGAAAAACACTGGGTTGTCTCCATCTTTTGGCTATGAATTCTCCTGTGAACATTCCTATATTTGGGTACTTGTTTTCAATAGTTTTGAGTATATAACTAGGCATGGAGTGGCAACACCATTTTACATTACCACCAGCATGCACCAAGTTTCCAGTTTCTCCACATCTTTGTCAATGCTTGTTCTTTTCCATATCTTCTTCAGAGAAACGTCTCTCTAAAAATCAGTAAACATATCCTCAGGTGAGGATTTTTTTTTTTTTAAGGGCAAAGGACCCGAATAGACACTTCTCCAAAAAGGACATACACATGGCCTATAGACATATAAAAAGATGCTCAATGTCCCAATCATCAGAGAAATGCAAATTAAAATCACTTCACACCTATCAGAGCGGCTATTATCAATAAATCAATAAACAAGTGTTGGTGAGGATGTGGAGAAAAGGGAACCCTAGTGCACTGCTGGTGGCAATGCAGACTGGTGCAGTCACTGTGGAAAATAGTATGGAGTTTCCTCAAAAAATTAAAAATGGAAGTGCTTTATGACCCAGTGATTACAATTCCAGGAATATATCCAAAGAAACCCAAAACTCTAATTTGAAGGAGTATATGCACCCATGTGTTCATTGCAGCATTATTTACAACTAGAGGCCGGTGCATGAAAATTCATGCACTGGAGGGGTTCCTCAGCCTGGCCTGCCCTCTCTCACAGTCCAGGAGCCCTCAGGGGTGGGAGGCGACCTGGTGATCAGGGGAAGGCGACACCCAATCACACCTCTTCTGCTGCCACTGCCGGCAGCACAAGCCTCGGGCGGCCCTGGTTACCTGAGCCTAGGGCGGCCCTGGGCGGCTGGGCAGCCACCATTCGAGGGATGCCTGTGCCTCGGGCCAGCCCTGGCGGCTGGGGGGCTGAGGGTACTGGGCGCCACCATCTTTGCGACGGTATGAAGGTCAATTAGCATATTCCCTCTTTATTAGATAGGATAGCCAAGATTTAGAAGCAGCCCAAGTGTCCATCAGTAGGTGAGTGGGTAAAAAAGCTGTGGTACATTTACACAATGGAATAATACTCAGCCATAAGGAGGAGGAAATCGTACCCTTTGCGACAGCATGGATGGACCTGGAGAACATTATGCTAAGTGAAATAAGCCAGTCAGAGAAAGACAAGTACCATGTGATTTCACTCATACGTAGAATCTAATGAACAAAATAAACTAACAAGTTGATTCTGTCAATTTTGCCAGCTTATTGGTTGTTTCACTGGAGGGCCTGATTCTTGGAGCACCACCACTGCCGTTTTCTGTGATGTCACTATATATTTTTTTAACTTTTAATTTTGACATTATGATAAACCCACAGGAAGC